GGCTGTACCGAAAATTCGCTTCGTATTCGCTTCGAGGCCGAATAGTGGACCTACTAGCTATTCGGTATTCGGCCGAATAGTGGCGGTCGGGCCGAATACGAATAGTGATTTCTGCATACACTGCGATGGACTAAAATAACTCTCTCATTAATAATGTCACAATTTATAGCCTACTTTTCTTGATTTTCGCCGCGGCATCCCTGTCATATGCACCAAGTTTTAGAACCTCTACTGTAATGCCTCGGAGTCAGGCGCTGTTACCACGCAAACGGGTCGCCGTTTTTCACGCTACGAAAGATAGCGGGCATTGCTTCTGTTGTGTTAAAGAAGGCATGAAGAAACTTGAAAGTGTATCTGTGTGTGTGTGTGTGTGAGAGAGAGAGAGAGAGAGAGAAGGAGAAAGGATACATTTTTTTATTCTTTCGGGGAGTCTTTTCTCAAATCAAAATTGATAAAATCAGATGAAAGATGCATTACTAAAATAAAAAACAAAATAGGACAGGCTAAAAATGCATTCTATATTTTTAAAAAAGAACATCTTGTGCAATATATCGTTGTCTTGCTTGCTACATACATCTAGTTTTAACATATGGCTATGAGTCCTGGACAATCGGTAGCCAGGCCAAACAATTTTTTGAGGCCTCAGAGGTGTGGTTTTACAGAACAATGCTTAAAATACCTTGGACAGCTTAAAAAAAGCAACCACTAGGTTTTGAAAGAGGCGGGAGCCTGAAGACAACTAATCGCAGACATCAGAAGAAGACAGTCATCATATAGAAAGAGTGAAAATGGAACATGTGGTGACCACTGGAAAGATTTGTGGAAGGAGAGATAGAAAAAGACAACGAGAGAAGATTCTTGACAGTCGTTGCATGTCATGGAGGTGTGTCAGCACACAAACTGATACATGCTGCAGGAGATCGCAGATTGTGGCGAGGCAAATTCGCCACACTAGTCGGTGAGGCACCTGATTATGATGATACACTATTCGTATTCGTATTTGGCCGAATAGTTGGTCCCACTATTCTTATTCGGCCGAATAGTGAAAACCACTATTCGGTACAGCCCTAATATCTAGACTTTGACCTGTAAAACTGACATTCAGGATTCAGGGTTTCTGTTTGCCAGGGGATTAAACCTTCAGTTCGCAGCCATGAGGGAATGAAAAGGCAGTCAGTACCCAAAGTTTATCAAAGTCCCAGATGAAATGAACCTTTCAGGCTGTCATAAAACACACAAAAACAAACACAGTACACACACAAAACGGGACTAATTAGGCTAAAAGTCCCTGAACTTCTCAAGGAATCTGGTAAATGATTTAGAAGGAGAAAGAAAAAAAAAACAATACCTGAATATTAACAAGAATATAATAAACAACTTACAACAAATACTTATACTAAATACGATACTAATACGATAATATAAAATGTATTCAATTCCACACTGAGTGACTGTCGCGAAACATTGTACTCACTCGAAGGCGAAAAAGAGTCCACTTGTGACAACAATAAGCCCGCAAGTCAGATAGAAAACTCCCGCTTGTCTAGCCATCATAATCCTTCCATTACAATAAAACTTATTTTTTCCTGGAAACACCTGCCATCTCCGCAAAGACTTCGTCTTGGCCATGTTAATGACAATCTCTTGATTCCAACCTGGAGGATCGCCGTCACCGAGTTTGCTGGGCAGCCCTGTCGTTGTTGACACCGCTATATAATCTTTCATGAGTAATACCACAATTTCTAGTCACTACGAAAAATTTAACATCTACAGACATCACAGCAGCTATTTATTTTTCCTGGGAATCATTTCACAACTTCGACAAAGGGGTATTTGCGTTCAAAAGTCCAGATATAAACCGGGAGAGGATTTCTCAGAATTTCTGCTAGAAGGAAATGTCGCCAAGACTTTGTTGATCATTATGTCCCCATCGCGCATGCGCAGACCTCATACGGGAGGAAAGAATAAACGTAAGTTAGTTGCGTATTTGTTTTTCCTCAAAAACTTTTTTGTTGAATGTTCGAGTAAAAATAATCATTAACCACTCGAGACATTCCCGTAAGCGCTCGTCTTTATCTTCAGTAGCAAGCGTAATGTTCAAGTTCCGATTGTATCAATACCAGTCCCTGTGTCCGTCTCGCCTTTCTGACGAGGCTGAGCATGTAAACCCTGAGGCTGAGCGGCCAGATTCGCTGATCATTCATCGCAGTACCATTCTCCTCTGACTGTTCATCCCTTTTTAAAATCTTTTTACGCGACTTTGCAAGCAAGCACCAAAATTGTTTGGTTGTTTGTGGCTGTATTAGGTAATTGTCCGCTCTGTAGTTCCTCAACGGTGCTGGGTTAGATTCCATCTATGATACTGATACTGTTGAACGGGGCACATCGCAATGGAAGAAGGGACTGCTTTGCCCTATGCAACGTACAAAGGCACACAAGGATGATGATGAGTTTACTATTGCTTTAGAATTTGAATTAAGAATCGACATTACAGCACTCGGGACACTCCTTTAAGTGCTCAGTCCCCATGTTCAACAGCAAGCGAAGAGTTCCAATTCCGATGGTACCTGCAACCGTCTAATTGTATATCCGTCTCATCCTTCCTGCAGAAAATATCCTAAGGATGCTAATTACCCCGTACCTCTGAAATTATGCTTGCTAAATTTGCATGAAGCATGTCTGTTTTCACCTTATTCAACGTGCTCTGTGAATCAGTTACGATCACAGCATGTGTGTACAGCTGATTCTCAAGCCGGCGGAAGGCAGCAGAGACTGTCTCTACCTCCATTCTCAAACTAGACGTTGTGATATCATTTGCCAGGCTTTGTTGCACTAAGCAACGTCCATTCGCCTTTGCTATGAAACTCTATGCACTTCGTCTGCCATCTGTATAGATAATAACATCACGTTAACGGGAATTGCCATTATTATTGCTTTATTAACGGTCTACTCTTCACGTCATTGTCAAAATCATAGAAAATAGTATAAAAACCAGTATCTGGGAGAACGCTGCAGCGGCTAGTGTCTGTCGGCTTTGGGCGCCACGCGAGATTCAGGAGGAGGTACGACGAGTAGTCACAGACGACAAAGAGCACCATCAGTCTTGAGACTCTTCGATGGTTGTTAAAGACAAAGATGGAGCTAATATGGGCTTGATGTCGAATGTTTCCCCAGATGTCGAAATCAATACCAGACAGTTTGCTGCCAGATCACCTGCAAGTGAATCGAACTGAGGTAATTAGGAATTATTTACCTCGATCGTAACTTCTAAGCCACAGACACTTACCAGAATCTTATTACAATGACAGCAGGGTACTTCGTAACATTCGGATACCTGAGTGGCGAAGCGTGATCAATTTGTATGTGTAACCGTTAGCAGGTAATGATTATACTGGATTATACTGATATTATCCTCTTCGTCGCTTCGCTATCGAGACTATGAATGTGAAACTGGTATCATAGTCCTAGTAATTGGTAGCTTTCATGAGTTACATTTTCTGAATTAAGGGCATAAGCATGCAGAGAGAGTTGTTTTCACTATGTTAATACTCAACAAGCTTCACGTGCTCGGCCAGACGAAAGCCGAGTGGTATATTTATTATGAATAGTAAACAGTGATAATAAATAGCAAAATAACGCATTTTGCTTTGGCAAGGGAAAGTGTAGTGACACACCTGCAAACACTTGGTGTCACCAACCGGAAAGAGAAGGCCAACCAGAGAGATGAATGGAGGAGGGTGATATCTGCAGCAATCAATCTCAATGGCTCGGAATGCTGAAGAAGAAGAAGGGAAAGTGTGAGCGGCGGTTACATCCGTTACATGCACACCTCGGCACCAGGATAACCTAACATATCTGATTTATACGACTGAGCAAGGTTTCTGAGAATTTGCTCCGGTTCGATTCGCATCCGAATAGTGACTCCTTAGGTCACTGGTAATCTCAATCTTTTAGGTTGCAAACCTGGAGGGAGTGTTCTTGTTCTCAAATAGTGTGGTCATCGCAGTTGAATACAAAGAGATGATAGCCTGACGGCGCCTTAAGATAAGATGGATTGATGATGTCCAAAGATAATATGGACTGATGGCGTACATTCCACGGAGAAGGTACTAACAAAAGCGCCGAAATCTGGGTGCTCAGGACCATTGAGACCCCTACTCCTCCAATAATCAGATTATTATATATTTTTTTTTAAATTCCGTATTAATCCTCCAAGAAGTTAACTTGGTCAATAAATGTTCACTGAAGTCGAATGTGTCGACCGAAAGACACAAATATCACAACTTTGTCGTAAACAGGTACAATGCGAGGGCGTGGTGGTGGTGGTGGTGGTGGTGGTGGTGGGGGGGGGGGGGGTTGTATTTGAACCCTCTGCCCAAAGTGTTGCTATCCCTCCAATTTTTATTTGTGGTGGCACACCTGCGGGCTAATAAGATTTAAAACCAAAAATCATTAAAGTCTATACAACACAGCAATAAAGACCACAGCCGTGGCGTCCGTCGAGCCTTCGACGGCAATCTATCCCTCTCTTGGTCATTCAAAACTTAAAGCCTACAGTTGATGGTAATAATGTCGGTACTCAGTGTTCACAAAAGGTGCCGGTACTCGCCAAAAAAGTTTTTTTTTCCCAGTCTTGCTGAGAAACATGACAGAGGTGCCGGTACTACGCACCGCCAGTGGAAAGCATGACGTTGATGCTGATGATGTTCCCAACGGCGTTAAAAAACTAGTTTAAATTGTGCATATTAATTGTTTCAAATATATTTCTTCATAAGTCTTCATTTAATACTAAAGTTATATTTATTCATAACTGTTCTTGAAACAAAATAAAAGTAAATATAAAGTTTCTATTTTACAGCTATTTGCTTGAATACGAAACTAAACACAAAGTACATCTTCCGTGTCATGTGGGGGTTAAGGTCAGGCATGTTTCGGTTGTGCTACAATTTGAGCGATCTTGTGTTGGGACAAATGGATAAACTGTTTTATTGTATGGGTGAATGTTGAAGTCATTCGTAATGGATAGAATCGAGGAAGACGGCAATAAATTGACACCTTCTCCCAGCAGTGAGCCAGATAAATACCACAAGATAAGAGGTATGGTGATGGTTTCTCAGGTTCTGCACATCATAAATAATATTAATTATTATTATGGCTCTTCTTTAAATACAGGCCGGTACCTGGAAAGCCGCCGATAGGCTTAGTGGGAGTTCTCTCTCTTGGCTGCATTGCAAACACGGAGCGGAAAAGTCACGAATCAAATGACATACTTACCTATAATCATACGGTTACGTGTACGGTTGCGTAGTCATCATACGGTTGCATAGGTTTTGGGTTTGGGATAGGGGCTCTCCTTTCAACTACGGCCGGTAGACAAATGTAGGCGGCCGGTTAGTCAGAGTTGTCTCCCCTGGCCAAAGTGCTATTACGGACTGGAGAAGGCACGAATCAAAACACAGTACACACCGTGAGCTCGACGTGGCTTGCAGAACCCGCGCTGCGACTCAAATTAACGACCGCGGTCAATTACCGCTTCTTGCGACGCATTACGGAGTGGACTAGAGGGAACACAACAAGTGACGTAATTACTGTGTGTTGGCGATAGCGTGCATTGCCCTGCTATGATCATACGATTAGGGTTAGGGGTAGGGTGTGGGTTAGGTTCAGGGTTAGGATTAGGGTTATTGTTTGGGCTGCTACCTTAAGTTTGTGGGAAGACGAGATGCGGCAACACTAACCGTAACCCTAACCCAAACCCTAATCGTCTGATCATAACAGGGCACTGTACGTTCTCTATCGCCAGCACACAGTAAGTCTGTTATTTGTTTTGTTTCCTCCTGTCCAGTCCGTAATAGCACTGTAGCCAGGGGAGAGAACTCTGACTAACCGGCCGTCTACATTTGTCTACCGGCCATAGTTGAAAGGAGAGCCGGGATAGGGTTAGCGGCGTTAGGGGTTGGGTTAGGGTTAGGGATAGGGTTAGTTAAGGTTGGGGTTAGCGTTAGGGTTAGTTAGGGGTAGGGTTAGATGTGAAAATTTTGACGTAGGAGTTCCAAATAATGGCCGACAATCTTATGCTTGTGGGAGTGGCGCCACTGGAATTCTCCCAAATATGACGGCAATAGCGCGCGGCTGGTGCCCAATCGGTGACGAATTGTCCGTTTGAGTAGCATCCACATTCCTTCGATTGTTTGGGTGTGTATGTGACGGCGCGCGATTATATTGAACTCCTGCGTCAAAATTGTCAGCTCTAACCCTAACCCTACCCCTAACCCTACCCCTAACCACGCAAATTTATCGGTCATTAAGGCATACAGATCTGCAGAAGTCACATCCGTGGCAACTAATACCACTGTTATATAAGGATATATTTACTAAAAAACACACCCAGATTTCCCCGAAGCGTAAAAAAAACACCCAGATCTGGGGGACACACCCAAGCATTGGCAGCCCTGATGTCGACCTCACTGTCTTCTTTGATCTGTGACTTTTCCGCTCCGTGTTTGCAATGCAGCCAAGGGAGAGAACTCCCACTAAGCCGATCGGCGGCTTTCCAGCTACCGGCCTGTATTGTAAGAAGAGCCTATATTATAAATATAATTAATAATAATACTACTAGTATAATAGTAATAATACTGATATGCAGGAGTGTGAGGAAATAGACACACAGACAAACTGGTTCTGCATTAGTAGATAGTGAATTTATGCATGACAAGCTTATTTTTTTTTTTTTAACGTATCCAGAAACCATGAGTTGTAAACCCTTTGGCTCGGTACTATGGATATCGCAACTCTTTGGCATTAATTCCATTATAGGTACCGGTAATCTGGGAGAAATGTGGCTTTTCTGCCTACCCCCGGGAGTGAACCCGGACCACAAGGAGTTCGTCACCCGGCCACCGCGAAAGTCAGGTTTAACCAACTTCGCTAGAGAGCCGGGCAACTAGGTGTGATCAAGGCCTTTTAAGAGCAGATAAACCTTGCAGAGGCACGAATCGATCAATATGAATGAAATATGGTCTGGAGAGAATAATATAGCTAAGTACAGGCTAGTGACCAGTGGATCTACAGTCTACACTCCTAGAAAAAGCAAGACGGACATATAATCAGACAGTTTCTGTTTAATTTTTAAACAACGGATCAACATCATTGCACAAGAGTGGTAACCCATAAGTGCTGCATTCTACTTCTAACTCAAACCTGAGTCTGAATAATCTCAGCTCAGTACACGAACTAACTCTGTAGCACCAGCGAGGATACTGAAATACTTTGGGTAGATTTTTTAACTGCAAATTTTGCCCAGGCAGTCATTTCGATTTCCGACTGCCAAGGGATTTTTTGCGTGAACAATACAACATGCACGTCAGATCTTACTACCCAGAGACCAGGGGAAATTACTAGAAGTCCTTGTAAAAAATCCCAGCCTGAACCTGGGACCTCCAGCACTCAAGGTGGATGCCATGCTCAAACTTACTAATGCCATCGGAATCAGAACTCTTCGATGGCTGCTGAAGATGAGAATAGAGCACTACTATAAAGTAAATTACTATAAAGGATATTCTACATATGCAATAATAAACTGAATGTAATACTAAGTGGACAAAGGGGAAAAAAAGTTTATGTGAATAATGGTTTATATCCAGTTTTTATGTTGTGTGTGGGGGGGGGGGGGGGGGGGGGGGGGGGGGGGGGTTGTCTCTGCTAAAAACCTGCTGCTTCATGTTTTATTGATCTGTTTAGAGATGCAGTTACCCTTTCGTTTACCTGGTAGTCATATTTTTGTTAATTGCTTTGTTGGGTACTGACTTTGTAATGTTCCTTTCACAGCTGGCATGTTTTTGGCATCAGTCACAGGGATGTCCATCTTGGGAGGGTTTGGCATGACGCTGGCCATGGCCAAGAGACAGGATCCTGACATGTTTGCCAGAGTAAGACTTTTTTTGCTGCTCACTTAAAATGAGATAGATCTCTGAGAGTGTAGTAAAAGACCCTTTTCCTTGCACTCAGGCATATTGGGCATATAAGTCTAGACCTATATTTTATAGGCCATTCGGCACTCAGTAGGTCAAGTTTACTCAGGGATCAGTTGGCAAATGGGGATGGTCACGGGCCGATGCTCAGTCCAAACATAGAGTGTTAATGCAATACAACTGGCAGGTGATCTGCGGGCCACTTGTTGGGTCTTTGTGGGCCAGTTTTGGCCACTAGTTAAACAGCCCTGCAGTAGGTGATGTGGTCAACAGCACGCCGGCTGCTATTACTTCTCAGGGATACCTAGTACCCCCTCAGAGCTGGGTCAACCTCGGAGCCAGGGTAATTAAAAAAAAAAAATACAAAACGTCCGGCTTCGTCAGGACCTGGACACAAACCATTCTGATCTAGAGGCGAGTGTTTAGCCGCTACATTATGGCGGCTTCCTCTGAGAGTATATACTAGAACATTTTCCTGTAATTCTACCTTTCTGTGGCTCATTTGGGTGGTGACAGAATATAATGCTCTCTGGGAGTATATACTTGAACATTATACTTAATTCTACATTTGTAGTGTTTATGTAAATTGTAATAGAATTTTTGAGAGCATATACTTGTATATTAGTTTGCATCTAGTTAATATCCTAATTTACACATTTCTCCACATGTGTGTTCCAGAGCCCAAATGTGGGGCAAGAATAGTCCCACCATCTCGCTAAAAATAATGTCAAGAGTCGACTATAAGGGATTTCCTTTTAAGTCAGAGTGCACATTTGCTTGAGAGGCAAGGAACCAACTGTCCGCATACAAAAAAAGCCAGATCCATAAAATGGATGTGTGTGCAAAACTGAATTTCTGCAAGACTAAATCTGGAGATGGACAAACAACCAGAACTTCCCACTGGAGTTTACAGCCAGTGAATGCAAAGTAGAAGAAGAGATCTCTACATTTCAATTGCATTTTAGATAAAAGAAGAGAGAACAGTAGGTCACAGCTACCTAATCTTTCTATTTATGCTGCTTGGTGGAAGTAATGCACCAGTGCTTACAGGAGGAATAATGGACGGAGCTGATATTCTCAATGCTGTATGGACTAGACTGGCAGATGATAAATCATTGACATGATTGCATAACCTGGGAGTAAAGCTGGTGAAGCATTAATATTCTGTCTTTGAGGTCTAGGTTTAGATTTAGGTTTAAACAACCAATCAACATCATGGCACTAGGGTAGTAACCCATAAGTGCTCCATTCTACTTCTAAATCAAGCCTGAATCCTAAGAATCTCAGTGCAGTGCACAAACTTTGGTCAGATTTTAAACCTCAAAAGGCTACTATTTCCAACTGCCAAGTCTTTTTTTACGTATGCAACAATACACATAGGTGTCCAATCTTACTGCCCAGAGACCAGGAGAAATTACTAGAAGTCCATGTGAAAAAAATCACAGCCTTCACTAGGGCCAGAACCCTGGACCTCCAGCACTCAAGTCGGACTCTATGTCTTGAGACTACTCAGCCCCTCTTTGAGGTCAAGTCAGTAGAGACCATCCAGCTTTTCATGGGAAAAAACCGTAGAGGTACTTTGGAGTGGCTGCTGCATCGGAAGACTGAGCACGCAAGGGTATGCCCTGTATACCATGCCTTTGATTGTGATAACATAATATTTGTATAGTTTTTTTTTTGGGTATCAGACAAGAAATGTGGTGCTAAATCAAGTTCACTTGGGTGTTAGACAAGAAATGTAGTGGTTCACTTGGGTGAAAGACAAGAAATGTTGTGTTAAATCAAGTTCACTTGGGTATTAGACAAGAAATATGGTGTTAAAACAAGTTCGCCAGTTGTCACATAATTTACATTTTTTCTTAAAGACTATTCAGAAAATCTGCACTGCGTATATCTAATTTCTATAATGGGCTTAAATTTTTCATCTGTTTCTTCACAGAGTGCCTCATTTGTTTTTCTATCTGTGCATATTTTAAAAGTGAACTGTATGAAAATGTGAAGTCTTTTTAAAAAAAATTTTTTAAACAAGTCTGCTCAGTGCAAACTCAATTACAAAAACTATCTAGCCAGCAGACAAGCCTTTAGAAACTGCGCCCTGATGCTCCCAGTAATTGATGCCCCATAGCATTTATTTTTAGGAGTCGTATATTTGCAGCAAGAAACCTAGCAGAACCAGAAAGTACTGGTTGTATATTGGCAGCAAGAAACCTAACAGAACCAGAAAGTACTGGTTGTATATTGGCAGCAAGAAACCTAACAGAACCAGAAAGTACTGGTTGTATATTGGCAGCAAGAAACCTAGCAGAACCAGAAAGTACTGGTTGTATATTGGCAGCAAGAAACCTAGTAGAACCAGAAAGTACTGGTTGTATATTGGCAGCAAGAAACCTAACAGAACCAGAAAGTACTGGTTGTATATTGGCAACAAGAAACCTAACAGAACCAGAAAGTACTGGTTGTATATTGGCAGCAAGAAACCTAGCAGAACCAGAAAGTACTGGTTGTATATTGGCAGCAAGAAACCTAACAGAACCAGAAAGTACTGGTTGTATATTGGCAACAAGAAACCTAACAGAACCAGAAAGTACTGGTTGTATATTGGCAACAAGAAACCTAGCAGAACCAGAAAGTACTGGTTGTATATTGGCAACAAGAAACCTAACAGAACCAGAAAGTACTGGTTGTATATTGGCAGCAAGAAACCTAGCAGAACCAGAAAGTACTGGTTTCATAAAGACCCCAGTCACACAGATAAAGTTTAAAAGCGCAAATTAATCCTTATGGTGTGGGCAGAATGGTGCAGCGGGGACTGACCAGGGGATTAGGCTGACACTTTTCACTAAGAAGAAAGGCCAGATGGACGTATCATCAAACCGCTACTGATACCATAGAATCCGGAAGTCTGTGCTGGCTGCTGAAGATGGGGTAACTGCATGTGAGAACATTCTGTGTTATTGTTTCTTAACTCAGCCATTCATACAGAATGCAGAAGGGAAGAAATCAGTAGATGCCGAGGGATCACATTTAGAGGTCAGAGCATGGCTTTCTTCTTTTGCATATAGTTTGTGCCGTGTGGCATTGGTGGTTATGTCTATCAAAAACCTTCTGTCTCATGTACTTTCAGTCAGTCCTGACACAGAGGATCTTCTGTACCATGATGTCAAACTTCTTCTTCTTCTTCGCGTTCACCAGCTGTAAACTCTGGTGGAAAGTTCTGGTTGTTCGTCTACTTCTGGACTGCAGTCCTGTTCCAGAACCTGAATGTTGCGTGTGCATCCGTTCGACAGGTCTGATTCATTTGTGTGCAGACTGTTGGTTTCTTGCCTCTCAGGCAGATGCACTCCGACTTCAAAGAAAGCTCCCAATTAGTCGACTCTTACGACATGCTTTTGGGTAGGCAGTGGGTCTTTTCTTGTTTTCCCCATAATAGGGCCCCGGAACCCACACGGGGAGATGTCAAACTGTCCAGCGTCTTCTCTATGGATCTCCCTCTACCTGTTCAAACCTTCTCAGCAGGGCTTTGCAGCATGAAAATTGACGTTACAGATGTTCTGTAGTATATGCATTCTTCAGTATAACATGACAAAGCTGTTGTGTTTATGTTAATTTATCTGGAACTTTCCAGGGTATCCATGGAACTAGAGAAATCCCAGAAAGTGGAGTCAGCTTGGCTACGAGAGCTCTGGTGAGAGGGTCCATGTATTCAGTTGCTGGCGTCAGTCTGTTCTGTTTTGCTGTGTGGAAAGTGATGGGGGTGCACAGTGTGAGTAATAGATTATTGTTATGTAAAAAGTAAGACATAAGTATTGTTATGTAAAAAGTAAGACATAAGTAAAAGTCAAGACTTCCATGTTTAAATGCATGTATTTCTCATATAAATTATCGCTTCCCCATTTTAAGTATACCTGTCCAAATTTGTAAAAATATAGGGGGGGGGGGGGGGTTACCCCTGTGTTTGTTCCAGAGTCCCATTTGGGGGGGGGGGGAATGAATAGACCCACTGCCCTCCAAACAAGCACGTCATAGGAGGTGACTATTTAGGGGTGTTTCATTTATAATTGGAGTGTCTGTGCCTGAGAGGTGAGGAGCCAACAGTCTGCATACAAATAAGTCAGATCTGTCAAACAGCATTGTATGCAAAGGTCAAGATCTGGAACAGCTTTAAAGTCCAGAAGTGGGTGAACAACCAGAATTTTCCGCTGGAGTTTACAGCCAGTGAAAGATACAATTTGATGTGTGTATCCAGCCACCTTTCTTAGATACTAGACTATTAACATCTTGGTCTCTTTGTGGGTTCAGTCAGTTTATGAAATGAAAATACTTTTATCCCCCCTATAGTTTCTGGCACAAAGCCAAAGTCCAAAAGGAGGAACAACCAGGACTTTCAGCCAGAGCTTATGGCCGGTGAACAAAGAAGAAAGAAAAACTTGATCTGACCTGGTAGTATTTTTGTAACATGGTTCTGAAATCCTGAGCTTGAATTGTGGAAGACTTTTCTTATGAGCAAGTATTGCCAGTCACGTTCACCATTACAAGGGCTGTGATTGTGGAAAACTTCTCTTATGAGCAAGTATTGCCAGTCACATTCACCATTACAAGGGCTGTGATTGTGGAAGACTTCTCTTATGAGCAAGTATTGCCAGTCACATTCACCATTACAAGGGCTGTGATTGTGGAAGACTTCTCTTATGAGCAAGTATTGCCAGTCACATTCACCATTACAAGGGCTGTGATTGTGGAAGACTTCTCTTATGAGCAAGTATTGCCAGTCACATTCACCATTACAAGGGCTGTGATTGTGTGAGCAAGTATTGCTAGTCACATTCACCATTACAAGGGCTGTGATTTGCATGTCTCCCTAGAACATTATATTACACTGTCATCTAGAAAGAAGGAATGGTGTCAAATTGTCTGTAATACTTGTTGGTTTGTTTTTTTCTCATCATGATAATTGCATTTCAAAAACTATTTTTTTTTTTTTTTTAAAGAGTAATGTATTCCTGTTTCATGTTAGCTTAATGAATTTAAATGACTATGGAAAGATATCAGTCCAAACATAAACACAGTCATAAATGACATGAAAACGCCTTCGTCAGCATGTGACACAAATGGACAATGATAGTTACAAATAATAATACACAACATCACTTATCTGTCAATAGAGGCTCTAAAGAAATATCTATGACACATCTGGACTGCAGAAATTCTTAGTCATGTGTGATCCTATGAATTTATAAAGCGTCCAGTATCCTGGTTCGACACAACTTGTTAGCTTACGTAAAATAAAATCTTTAGGCTGATGTACCGAATACTCCATGAGAAGTTTGACGTTTGTGAGAACCAAGTGATGATTGAATCTGCATCAATGACCACACTGCAAGAACAGCATGTTAAAAGGGGTGTGGCCAGGCAAGAGCACTATGCAGGAAGCCAAAGAAGAATAGGAAACCAACACAGAATCGGTGTCCTTAGACGCTCGCTACCCGCTGCAGAATTTACTGAAGAAGGGATCTGAGCACATAGTGACTGAATGATTTGATCTTCAATAAGGATGATCTGAGCACATAGTGACTGAATGATTTGATCTTCAATAAGGATGATCTGAGCACATATTGATGAATGATTTGATCTGCAATAAGGATCATCTGAGCACATAGTGACTGAATGATTTGATCTGCAAAAAGGATGATCTGAGCACATAGTGACTGAATGATTTGATCAGCAATAAGGATCATCTGAGCACGTAGTGACTGAATGATTTGATCAGCAATAAGGATCATCTGAGCACGTAGTGACTGAATGATTTGATCTGCAATAAGGATCATCTGAGCACGTAGTGACTGAATGATTTGATCTGCAATAAGGATCATCTGAGCACGTAGTGACTGAATGATTTGATCTGCAATAAGGATCATCTGAGCACGTAGTGACTGAATGATTTGATCTGCAATAAGGATAATCTGTCAACTAACTGAAAAAAATCTGTTCTTTTTTTTTCAGCTTGCAGAGTTTCGACAGAAGGTTGGCTCAGTGATGCCAAAAATACCCAAGAAAGACAATCCAGGGAGAGGAGACTTCACAACTATCAGAGACCTGTTTAATTATATCATTGAAGAAGATGAAAAGGAGAAAAGAGCAAAGAAAATATCCTAGTATTGTTGCTGCTTATATATTATCATAGTCTGTACATAGTGTCAACTTATTGTAGCATTTGTTTATTAAAACTGAATGTAAACTGAACTAAGAAAATCATGAAAATATAAATTGTTAGTGAATGTCATAACATGAGAAATAAATTCACTTGTGTTGATCAGCATTTGTTAAAGTAAATAGGAAAAGGAATTAAAAAACACTCTTTGCTGCCTGGATGCATCACTTTTGAGGGCCGTGTAGGACAGAGGGACCTTTAGCCTGGGGATTTAGGCTTCCATGGCTACTGCAGTCACCACGGACTGCGGGTTCAGATTATATTCTTGCCCAGACAGAAACAAATTCATCCCCCCGACTGAGGATTTAGACCTGTTTCTCCTGAATGAGATCCCTGCATGCTTAACCACTCAGCCAGCTGCTTCTTCGTAGAAGAGATAAGAGAAACATGTGTTGAGGAATCATTCATAAAACTTTTGTCTTCAACTTTTTGAAGTCTTGATATATTGGTGATTAGGTTCTGTAGGCTCTGAAAAAGCCAGACATTACTCAAAATAAAGATGGTGTTGACACATTTCTGACTACCTAGCACCAAAGTACTATCCCTGCATTGATTCACTGGGCATGCCACACTTAAAAGCTGTTAAATATGAATCCTAGTGTGTCTAAAGATTTTGATTGTTTATATTGTCTGCTATGAAAGACATGTGTTAATGTGACGCAAAAGATACCAGCGTTGACACGGGGGTGAGATCATCCCCTATGGAGGCAGACAGTGAAAAATGAACCGTGGCAACTTGCACCAGGTTAAAAGCAGCAAGCTATAGAGAGGAGACATCTATGAGAAAACCAGCCTCAGTTAATAGAGTATCAACGTTCTTATATGGACTACAGGGCAGAAACTATCACTTCCACATTGGTCCCTAAAGATTGACTGTCTGCTGTGACCTCAGATCTCTATTTCTGTCCATTACTTTTATGAATGCCAGTCAGTTCCTGTGATTATGCTTATGCTGTTAAACAATAGCTACACTGTCGCCATGAAATAAGTGGTCTTTAGCAAGATGAAAAAAAAGATACCAATAAGATGTCATTTGCAGTGAGAAAAGGTGTGTTCAAGTGCTGAATAGAACCTGCAGAGTTGTCTGCATGTGAGACAACATCAATAAGATGTCATTTGCAGTGAGAAAAGGTGTGTTCAAGTGCTGAATAGAACTTGCACAGTTGTCTGCATGTGAGATCACATCAATAAGTACACACGCTGAAAACACCTACTCACAGCGGAGGTGTGGTTTTGTAAAATACAAAGAATATGATTGCAAAAAAGAAACAAATGCAGCAGTACTCCTTAAGACAAGACATGAAAAATGTAAACTGACTGGAGAAATTAGACAAAGACAGTCATTGTTTTTAGGCTGTGTTACAAGAAGGAATGGATGAGAACAATGATCTCAGAAACCACAACTCAATTCCTCTGCAGGTGATTTGGCAGCAGACAGTTTTGTATTGTTTTTGACATGGTATGTAGAGCCAGCCAAGCACAGAGCAATGGCAAACTACTCTGAATGTAAAATTGCCTAATTAAAGCACTAACAACCAGCAAATGCTTGATTTGGTCTGCAAATCCGTAAAGGATAGTCAACAGACTAATCATCTACATATTTTCTTTGGTTAGACCGGTGTGACTGGAAGACTGGAAAAAGAGAGAGTTAAATACTTTATTTGAAAGATTGTTGTTGTAAAACTTTTTTAGAGTTTTCAACATAATGCTTTCCAGTCATTGGTACATAATGTGGACACAAAACATTGCACAATTTATTGTCTGCCATATTTCACTGTATCTTGTCAGTTGCATTAATACAGAGTTATTTCGACATGTAATGAAGCACAACAACTGAATAAATTCTGCTAAAATACAAATGTTCTCTCTTGGTACACTGTTGTCTCATTGCTGGAAATTCCAGATAGTCATGTGATTTACCATGGTAACTTACAATATATAATGCATTCTTTTTGTTTGTGGGAGGATGGGCAAATGCTGGACTTGTAATTGACAAGGACAGTGAGCTTTCCGTGTGATTGACCACACACTGAACAGGTGCATGCTGAGACTAGCTGAAGCTTTAACAGTAAAAATGAACACCCTCCTTCTGTAAACAGAAGAAATTCATTATACATTTTTAGTTAGCTTCGTAAGTCACATGTCTGTCGGGAATTTCCGGCGATTAGACAACAATGTACAGAAAGAGACAGCAATACATTGTGCAATGTATTGTTTCTCTTTTGTCCACATTATTTATGTATTAAGAGTGTATTTATCTGTATATCATCAAGCAATTGCTTAATTGTACATTTGCATGAGTGAAGCAGGTAGAGAAATATTTGATTGTAAAGATAGTATGCTTGTAAATCTGTGTGAGAGTTTTGCTGGGATCATATAAAAGTAAAGAAATTACTGACAGTTTGCATGTGAATTTGTATTGTATAATATGATTAGAGTTCTTGAATGCAGAAATTAAATCACATGAGTAAATAAATGAAGACATTACTTATATGACAATCTATGATATGAGCTTTGTTTTTTTAATTGGTTTTTTGTGTGGGTATGTAAAGTATATTTTTAGAAAAGTGACACGATTTGAGATTTGGCATAACAGAATTTGCAATTATTTGTCAACAAAAGAAAAGATGTGGCTAGAGACACAGCATTTTTCCCATGCATGCTTTCTAAGTGATTCCATAAGCTGCTTAAGAAGAAAGAGACATGATGGATTTGAAGAAAATTAACTAACTACACTCAGAGGAAAGGCAATGAGGATAATCTGTGGATTAACTAACTACACTCAGAGGAAAGGCAAGAGGATAATCTGTGGATGAACTAACTACACTCAGAGGAAAGGCAAGAGGATAATCTGTGGATGAACTTACTACACTCAGAGGAAAGACAAAAGGATAATCTGTAGATGAACTAACTACACTCAGAGGAAAGACATGAGGATAATCTGTGGATGAACTAACCACTCAGAGGAAAGACATGAGGATAATCTGTGGATGAACTAACTACACTCAGAGGAAAGGCAAGAGGATAATCTGTAGATGAACTAACTACACTCAGAGGAAAGGCAAGAGGATAATCTGTGGATGAACTAACTACACTCAGAGGAAAGGCAAGAGGATAATCTGTGGATGAACTAACTACACTCAGAGGAAAGACAAGAGGATAATCTGTGGATGAACTAACTACACTCAGAGGAAAGGCAAGAGGATAATCTGTGGATGAACTAACTACACTCAGAGGAAAGACATGAGAATAATCTGTGGATGAACTAACCACTCAGAGGAAAGGCAAGAAGATAATCTGTGGATGAACTAACTACACTCAGAGGAAAGACATGAGGATAATCTGTGGATTAACTAACTACACTCAGAGGAAAGACAAGAGGATAATCTGTGGATTAACTAACTACACTCAGAGGAAAGACAAGAGGATAATCTGTGGATTAACTAACTACACTCAGAGGAAAGACAAGAGGATAATCTGTGGATGAACTAACCACTCAGAGGAAAGACATGAGGATAATCTGTGGATGAACTAACTACACTCAGAGGAAAGACAAGAGGATAATCTGTGGATGAACTAACTACACTCAGAGGAAAGACATGAGGATAATCTGTGGATGAACTAACTACACTCAGAGGAAAGGCAAGAGGATAATCTGTGGATGAACTAACTACACTCAGAGGAAAGACATGAGGATAATCTGTGGATGAACTAACCACTCAGAGGAAAGACAAGAAGATAATCTGTGATAATAACCACTGTGGAAAGGCATGATAATCTATGAACTAACACTCAGAGGAAAGGCAAGAGGATAATCTGTGGAACTGACTACAACTCAGAGGAAAACTACACTCAGAGGATAATCTGTGTGGATGAACTAACTACACTCAGAGGAAAGGCAAGAGGATAATCTGTGGATGAACTAACTACACTCAGAGGAAAGGCAAGATAATCTGGATAATCTGTGGAAAGAACTAATAATCTGTACACTAACTACACTCAGAGGAAAGACAAGAGGATAATCTGTGGATGAACTAACTACACTCAGAGGAAAGGCAAGAGGATAATCTGTGGATGAACTAACTACACTCAGAGGAAAGACAAGATAATCTGGATAATAACTCAGAGGAAAGACATGAACTAATCTGTGGATGAACTAACTACTCAGAGGAAAGACATGAGGAAATCTGTGGAGGATAACTACACTCAGAGGAAAGATAATCTGTGGATGAACTAACTACACTCAGAGGAAAGGATGAATCTGTGGATTAACTAACTACACTAATCTGTGGATGAACTAACTACACTCAGAGGAAAGACAAGAGGATAATCTGTGGATGAACTAACTACACTCAGAGGAAAGACAAGAGGATAATCTGTGGATGAACTAACTACACTCAGAGGAAAGACAAGAGGATAATCTGTGGATGAACTAACTACACTCAGAGGAAAGACAAGAGGATAATCTGTGGATGAACTAACTACACTCAGAGGAAAGACAAGAGGATAATCTGTGGATGAACTAACTACACTCAGAGGAAAGACAAGAGGATAATCTGTGGATGAACTAACTACACTCAGAGAAAAGACAAGAGGATAATCTGTGGATGAACTAACTACACTCAGAGGAAAGGCAAGAGGATAATCTGTGGATGAACTAACCACACTCAGAGGAAAGACAAGAGGATAATAACTGTGGATGAACTAACTAACACACTCAGAGGAAAGGCAAGAGGATAATCTGTGGATGAACTAACTACACTCAGAGGAAAGGCAAGAGGATAATCTGTGATGAACTAACTGTGGAGGAAAGGCTAACTATCTGTGGACTAACTACACTCAGAGAAAAGACATGAGAGATAATCTGTGGATGAACTAACTACACTCAGAGGAAAGGCAAGAGGATAATCTGTGGATGAACTAACTACACTCAGAGGAAAGACAA